AAGCATTGATCTCCATAAATCATCCGGTTTTATGTCGTTGGTTGAAAAATAAACATTGGTATGAAGCAGAGAATAGTTATGTGAAGCTTGAAATGCAAAGCTTAAGCATATGTATGTTTATATCGCTTCAGCAGGACCTTTATGTACCTTACTGAAACTCGGAAAGATTCGAACCCCTTCTAGTCTGATTCCAAGTGTATTCACTCCGCGGCCGTGTCCCAGGGGACTATTTCGGTTGTATATACGCATGAAATAACGAGCACGCTGTGTATTTCTGAATTTTGTTAATACGCTGGGTGGCTAAAGAATTCCATTGTAGACGAGTTTGCCAAGTTACCGTATATAATGGCCGGTGTTGACGTTTTCATCTACGGAGTTCCGATATAAGACTTCTTAGAAGTGCAAGATGTTTGAGCTTGTTAGTTCCCTGTCAAAAAATGTTTTTTGGCAACGGCAAAAAGTTAACCTTTCTCCAACCACAGCAGTTTCGGCGTGAGACCCTGAAAATGCTTTTAATATTTGGGTTTCAAGAGATCAGTGTATTCAGTACAGCCCTGATCGATCATCGCTTGATGTTCATGTTCATTTGAGGCGAAATGAGAACAAGGATGACTAAAAACTCTTACTTTTTCATGACAGTGTATTCCAATATTTTTTGGTCCAATGAAATTTGAGATTAATCTCCAAACACCATGATACAGGCATGCCATCGTGAAAGATGTGAAATACTTGAGGTTTTAAGCTGGTTTAGAGCGCTCTTCAGGAACTCTCACCAAACCGTATAATCACTCACCCTCAGATCTACACCAGGATAAATTTAGACGCACACTAGTCCATCCTCAAGTTTCCACACAGACATTCTAATACAAAAACAATAATGGTTTCATTTGGGGTAAGCGCGGAAGTGTGTGTAAGATGCCAATCCGCCTTCTCGAGTGCAGCAAGTATGGCAGGACGATATAATCCGTGCTTATCTGACGCACATAAAACCTATCCTGAGAATGGCGCAAAGAAAGAATAGATTATATTCAAGTAGATATTTACCTCTCCTCTCTAAATACAGTGCTATACATTTTTTCCAATGAACGTCTAGTTTTCTGCGCAGAGTTTTTCACGCTTATGTAACTCACTTTCTCGTTCACTTAAAGGAACGCTAGATAACAGCTTTCTACTTCTCATGCGAATTGTTTCTTTTTTGGAATTCGGCTTCATTGTTTAACCAGTACACGTCAGTATGACTGAAGTCAAGTAACGGCATTAAACGGGGGCAATCAAACGGTAGCCGACTGCAAACTCAGCTTGAGAGTGATAGTACCCAATGGACCATAAGTCAGGCTTGCTGGCAGTCAGGAAAACGCTGGACGCTCGAGTGACAATGAAGCAATCAACCTTTTCAATGAACTTCTATAACGCGATCCGCTTTCAAAACGAACAGTATTGTTTGGTCACTCTGAAATCACCTTAGAAAAGAAGTGGCTTACATGAACCTACTGAATGGTGATTTCGCACTTCTTGTGTATTTATGCGATTAACCTGGTTAGCTTGGATCAAGGAGGGGCAGTAACCTTCAAATTCGCTCATGTTAGGGCTCATCAGCAGTTCATGTCTCTTTGTGACAAAACCCAGAACGCGATCTTGACAGGTAATTTTGTGCTTGTGCCTATCCGGCCCTAGCTCTCAGGTCTTCTCAGTCAAACAGTGCTATACGCGCCTGAAAATCTGATGAAAAGCGTTGATTAGCTTAGGTGTCTCCCTGAAAACAGTGAAACGCAAACTCAGTGCTTTTCATATCTGATGTGAGCTAGCCATAGTAATCGCTACCGAATGGGAGACAAACTCTTCAGAGAATAAATTCAGTAATCGCCCACGACAAAGCACTGGGATCAAGGAGTCCTTTGCCCCGTTATCTAATAATGCGATTATTATGTTTACTGAAACTAGACCCCTTCGATGTTGTACACCGGAGAGCGGCCAGTAAACTACGTCGTGCCTAAGATCCTGTTGAAAGCCACTATCCAGTACGACACCAAGGTATCAGCACAGATAGGGGCATATACTGAGTTCAAGTAATATTATTACTGCACATACCGATGAGCTACTGGAACTGATTTTCTGGGCGGGTAAGTGAAATCTTGGGATAACCTGGATCCTAAACAAGCTGCTGTATGCCTGATGAAGACATCCTTCGTAAAACGCACCTGGTATTTTGAGACTGAGTGCGATTTTTCAGTTTTTAACAAAGCATGGTATCTGTGGAGATGCTCAAATGCGTATGCATGGGTAACTTCCCGACGATGACGAAGGTTCATAACGCTAATTGCTTCCACAGTCCTATGTAATAAGAGGATAGATTGCTTTGCCACAGATGCTGCTTTAACTATTCGGTTTGAAATATCCTTAAAAGCAACGGAGTTGCATAACATGACGTCTAACAGGGATGCTGCAAAAAAGGGGTCGTTTTGAAGGGTTCGCAAAAGCACTCTCCAGTCACCTACGTTCCGATGTGCG